ATCCATCCATCCATCCATCCATCCATCCATCCGTTCTTCCATCCATCCATCCATCCATCCATCTGTTCTTCCATCCATCCATCCATCCATCCATCCATCCATCCATCCATCCATCCATCCATCTGTTCTTCCATCCATCCATCCATCCATCCATCCATCCATCCATCCATCCATCCATCCATCTGTTCATCCATCCATCCATCCATCCATCCATCCATCCATCCATCCATCCATCCATCCATTTGTCCAATTGTTCATCCATCCATCCATTTGTCCAATCGTCCATCCATCCATCCACCCATTTGTCCAATCGTTCATCCATCCATCCATCCATCCATCCATCCATCCATCCATCCATCCATCCATCCATTTGTCCAATCGTCCATCCATCCATCCATCCATCCATCCATCCATCCATCCATCCATCCATCCATCCATCCATCCATCCATCCAATCGTCCATCCATCCATCCATCCATCCATCCATCCATCCATCCATCCATCCATCCATCCATCCATTTGTCCAATCGTTCATCCATCCATCATCCATCCATCCATTTGTCCAATCGTTCATCCATCCATCCATCCATCTATCCATCCATCCATCCATTTTCTCTACCAGTTTTTCCTCTCTGTGTCTCAGGTAGGCAGTCTGTGTGTGAGAGGTGGGGGACACCTTGAACAAGCCTCCTGTCCATCACAGGGACACATGGAGACAAACAAGACAGAACCCCTCTCACACTTTCATTCACTACTTGAGAGAAGTGTTAGCTTAACGTGCTCAGAGAAAACCCACATGTGCATGGGGAGAACAATGGTGTGAATGCTGATTAATTTATCTTCTGAACAGATATCCGTTCTGGTCATCATTTTCTGAGATATGCATCTACAGTCACAAGGATCTTTATATTTTTTCAACATAAAAAAACATCTGTAGTTAAACATTTTGTGTGTTTTCTCGTCCAACTCTCAGGCTCCGACCTGCAGGTGTGCACGTCTAAAAACCTGACGTGCTGCACCAGAAAGATGGAGGACAGGTACCAGCTGGCGGCCCGGCGGGACATCCAGAACCTCCTGCAGATGTACAGCAACGACCTGAAGACGCTGCTGTCACGCAACGTGGCTGCCTTTCAAGGTACTCGGTGTGTGTGCGTGTGTGTGTTGAGGCATCGCTGCTGTAGCTCTGTAAACACGCAGGGATCTAAATGTTTATCACTTGGGCCGTGGTGCGTCTGTGCCAGATGTTTGTGTTGATAGAATGGTGGAAGAGTTGGTGTTTTGTGTTCATAAGGCTCCACTTCAGAGCAAAKAGAGCCGAGCCTGTCCTCCATCTATCTACCTCCTCCGTCTGATCTGCACTTTAGATACGCCGGCTGTTTCTGCTGGAGGCTCGACAGCTTGTAGGGGAAGGAAATGCCTGCCAGGGATGGGAAATGAGCATTTGTCTGTGTAGAGTTGTTCCAATATTTTACATCCTAGAAGGGAATAAACCTGTGTTTCTGTTAGTTAACTCATGAAGTGGARGTCCATCCTTGTGTTTGTTTTCCATACCTGTCAGTCCTCACCTTACAGGTAGAGACTCGTCTGTTTCTGCTCAGTAACTCGTCTCTCGCTGATAGTCGTCAGGCGTCCATCCACACCAGTTTTTGGGATGGATAAAAGTATATCTTTTCAAAATGGTTTCAGCTTTGCATTCACACAAGGTTTTTAGAAACCCACGTAATCGCTTTTTCATGTCTTATATCAACTGGTGGCCCGTGGGCCACATACGGCCTGCGGATAGCTTCCATTTGGCCAAAAAHTTTTTTCTTTTAATTTTTTCTTTTCTTCTTTTTCTAATTTAATATAAAAAAGCATTTTAATTAAATTGTAAATTTAAAACTTGTGATTTAATGCACCAAAATAAACAAATTTAAAAGGAAAAGGTAACAGAACGTGCTGTTTTACATAATTAAGTGTTTCATCTACTGAATATATCAGAAGTCCAGCCACTGAGCTGTTGGATTTGAGCAACAGTGGCCCCCTGAGCAATCCCTTTGAATACCTTTCATATAAGGGGTCATATCATTCAAAAACCTTTTGTTAGCACATAAAAAAATTGTTGTGTACTTTGAGTCTCTAGGAGTGCAGAAAAGTTGAATTTATTTAATTCATGTTCTGTGTTGATATATATTTATATTCTGTTTGGGTCATATTCTCTAATCTGTTTTTAGAGCCATAATTGGATAGTCCTATCTCTATCAAACTACAAAAATGGCCGAACGGGGTGGAGGGGGCGGAGCTTGAAGTGTCTCATTTGCATTTAAAGAGACCACACCAAAAGACCACATCTGAATTCTTTAAACGTAAAAAGGAAGGAGTTAAAAGCACATGTCCTCTTTAAACTGCAGATTCTAAGGCTATAAAGGTCTGTATCATTTTTTTGGACTATCAAAAATAGAAAAAAACCTTCATTTTGAGGTCAGTCAATATGAATTTTGTGGCTGATGCTGATCTGGAGAAAGTCTTTTTTTTGGCCAATTTGTAATTTGAAATAAACAAAATATAACAATAATTGTTTAGCCTAAACAATAATCCTTAGAAAACTGATTTACTTAAAAATAAATATTTTGATGCTGGTTCTCGGTGGCTTTAACTTCCAGCGTCCTGTCTTGTTTTTAGCTTTCGTTGATTTTTTTTGTTCTTTTTCCTCTTTGTCGTACTGTTTACAGGTGTGTTTTGTGGCAGTGTTGCAGCGTTTAACATTTCTCAAAACGATGCCGTGTTTATGATGGTATTTTTTGAGGGGGAAATAAACAAAACTTTCTCATATATGGACAGAAGTGGACGTCCAATTTCTTTTGTCTTTTTTGTTCCTCTCCATCGTCTCGTACAGGTACCGACTCGCCTGTTTCTCTCTCCTCTCTGTCATATGAGGGCCTAGAATGGGTGGGCAACAAACAAGAGGAGCTCATGACTCGAACGTTCAGCCTCAGACGTATCATTAAGACAATTGTCTTTAAAGCTGCCTTTCAGTTTAAAGGCGGGCTGTTATCCTCCTCCTCCTCCTCCTCCTGAAACTCAAATGATTTAAAGGAAAAGCTTTACTTGATGACAGTGTTTGAGTCGCGGTCTGTGGGGGTAATGCCCTGTTTTTGTTAGTAAACGTGTCATCTCCATGTTCAGCCTTTGAACTTGAAATAAAATTCTTACCGTAGAGCTTTTAAAGAATGGAAAAAAAAAGCACAAATGAAATGCTGGTAAAACTAAACTGCTGAGACTTCTGACGCCGTAAAAACACAGGTTTTTACCCAGTCTGTTGCACTTCTTGTAGGTTATTTTTGTTTCACAACAACCGTAAAAGTCCTGCAGGATCCTCTCAGGTTGTAAGTTCTTTCAACGAATGTAGGACTGAGCGTTTCGAAGAGGTTTAAAGAGGTCTGCGGGGGCTGAAAGCTGTTTGCAGAAACCCACTAAATGACGGGGCTCTCACATGGTTTCACCTGAGGAATGGCAGCTCGTGTTTCCCCTCACCAAACCAAACAGAGCTCCTCGTCAGCATCAACTCCCGTCAGTCAACAAACACCGCCGTCTGTTTCTGTTTCATACAAGCGCTAACACAGCTTCAGTCGCTCAGGTTACATACGAACCATTTTTTTTTTCTCCGCCGAGGCTGGAGCTGATGCAGACATACTGGTTATGTTTAAAAAATATATTTTCAGTTATTTAGTTTCAGTCTTGTGTAGCCTTCTGTTTTCTTAAAAAACAGCTGGTGAAAAGATCTGGATAGATGTTTAAAACAGCAGAGGGATAGCTAAAAATGTGATTAAGGCTAACAGGAAGGTAATTAGCAAAAAGCTATAAGAAAGTCAAAGAAACACAAGACTAGTTAAAAAAAAAACCCAAAGGCAGCAAAAGGCTAGTGTAAAACAAATGGTAGCTAAACCCAATGGTAGCAAAATGTCAGCTAAACGAATAAAATCTAGCTAGAAGCTAAAAACAGTAAAAAGATAGCTAACAATGTAAAAGTAAAGGGCTCGACACACGGGAGGCGACGTCGTTCGCTCTCCATTCATTTCCTATGGAGCCTGTGCGGTGAGGCGACAATCGCTTGCCCTCCTCCAGCTAAGCGATCGGCAAAAATAGTGCATGGGAAATTTCGCGCTCGTACACGTAGATGTGCACACMCGAGCTTGTGACGCGACATATGAAAGTTGAAAAATGTTCAACTTTTGTCGCTGTCGCTTAGCGTACAACCAATCGGCGAGGGTTTCATTGACTGACCAATGAGAGGAGAGTATGCTACACACTGCAGTTAGCTAACACTTTCACCAAGTGATTACTAAAAAGCTTTGTGGGAATTTATTGGCACCAGGGTGAAGTTTATGGTAAGTTTTTCCTCATAAAACTGTATCTTGATGTGTGTTTGTTTTTCAATATCATTAGCATCGCAAGATTTGTTTAGTTTGCACATCCGTAATGCACACCCGCCTTCAGAGTCAAGAACCAATCAAATTTTGTGAAGACAAGCGACCTGAGAGCGCGATTCGCAACTCTGCGATCGCTATCGCGTCCCGTGTGTCGGGTTTCACCCTGGCTGCGATGACAGCCGTTAATCGCTATAGTTTGTCGCTCCCCGTGTGTCGAGCCCTTAAAAAAGATACTAACAAGAAGCTAYTTATAGCTAAATGTTAGCAAGGTCATCAAAGAAACACAAGACTAGTTTAAAAAACAAAAAGCAGCAAAACGTTAAGGAAAAGTGGTAGCTAAATCCAATGGTAGCAAAATGTTAGTTAAAAAACWTAAAATCTAGCTAGAAGCTAAAAACAGTAAAAGGATAGCTAAAAAAGTAAAAGTAAGAATTTTAGTTAAATTCTATAAGAAGGTCAAAGAAAAACAAGTTTAGTTAACAAAACAAAAGGCAGCAAAAAGGCTAGTGAAAAAATGGTAGCTAAACCCAATGGTAGCAAAATGTTAGCTAAAAAAATTAAGTCTAGCTAGAAGCTAAAAACAATAAAAAGATGGCTAACAATGTAAAAGTAAAAAAAAAAAGAAAATCCTAACAAGAAGCTATTTATAGCTAAATGTTAGCAAGAAGGTCAAAGAYGCACAAGGTTATGAAAAACGCAAAATGTTAGTTAAAAGTTTAAAGTAGCAACAAGCTAGCTAGAAGCCAAAACAGCAAAAGAATAGCTGTACAACGGAAGAAAACAGCTAACGAGAAGCTAATTGTAAAAATGCTATTGTAGCTAGAAGGTCAAAGAAGCGCAAGGTTAGTTTAAAGAAGCAAAAAGTTCGGTCAAAGTTAAAAGTAGCAAAAGACTCGCTAGCAGGTGAAAGACGCAAGAGGCTATTTTAAAAATGCAAATGATCAGCTAAATTAAGATTAGCAATGTAGGAAAAAGCTGTCTGAAAGCTAAACGTAAAAAAGGCTAGCCAAAAGGTGAAAACAGCAAATTAGCTAAAGGCTAGCTACAACTCTCAAAAGGCCACCAAAACAATAAAACGGCACTTGTTTTTTTCACACCACAGTTTTGTGCAAACGTTTTAAACCATCCCCTTTTGTGTTCCTTATTTGTGTCTGCACTCGTGAAATAAAAATTTGAGTTCATGTCTCTGTAAAACTGAATTATAAACATGTTCATGTTTGAAGTTAATTGAATTGTAGATGTCAACCCAGTGGTTTTCTGGGGGTTTCAATAAAACCTAGCAGTGGTACAGAAGATATTTTACTAACAGACAGAAATGGTTGATTCCAGTATAAAGTTAGAGCTTAAAATGCAATTTTGATGCAATAAGTTAGAATAAGTGTTGGGGATTACTCTCGGCTACTGTTACACACATTTTAGCTTAATCTCTGTAACCCACCCCCCACATACACACACACCAAAGCCACCCAAGTGGCATACTTCCCAATAAACATTTTAAAAGCTTTTTTTCACACAAAGAGTCCCGACTGGCACCAGACAGGAAGCAAGGAAGAACAAAAATGTTTGTTAGCTTCTTGGATTTTAACGGTGAGGGAAAAAAAAAAAACGTTTGGCTGCTTTTAAGAGCGGATTAAAGATTTAAAAGTCAAGTATTTATTCAGTTATTTAAATCCAGGAAGTGTATTGAGTGATGCTGAACTGTTTTGATAACATCCCAAACACAGGC